CTTCACAGATTGACCTAAATTTCTAAAACCACTCAAAAGCTGGCATTTTTTAAGCACTAGGTTTTATAATATTGTCTAAATGGTATTTTTGAGCGTTTGTTTGCCAAATGATTTTAATATAAAGATATCAACTTGAATAGCGAAATTTATTGAATATTTTTTCTCACAAAGTTGATATTAATAAACTGTCGAGAATCAAAGGAAATAACTCAAAGAAATATTTTTTATTTAATTTATTTTTAATTTCAATGACAAAATTAATAAATTGCTCATAAAATTTGAATATATTAAAGTAATCTTCTAAAGAAACATCATCAATATAAAAATAATAATTTGTAAAACCCGATAGTGGAATTAATAAGCATGACATTTTCCCATGTTTTTGGATGAGACATTTATCAATTTATATATTCGTCTTAGCTTTCATAGTATATATCTTTGTTGTTCCGCGTTCTTATCGCTGATAGAAATTGAAGTATCAACTCTTGTGATTCATTCATGCAGGGGAAAAAATTCCGCTCCAAAAATTCAACTTCACTAAGAATTCATTCATTTTCTATGATCTAGAATAAATCTTCTTGAGAGAACTATTAATACTAAGAGGAATACAATAATGAAAAAAAAAATTTCTGTTAAAAAAGTTTTTTTCTGTTCAAAGAAAACATTTCGTTCAATTTCTTTAAAAATAAATTTAGAAATAAAGTCGTAAAGTCTAGATCATGTTTATCAGATTTGTAAACATACTTTGCGAACACGTAGGCGATGCTTGTCAAACGTTATTAACAGACGAAAATAGTCTAGACATGCTTTAAAATAACTTTCAATTATAGTATTTTACATTGACCTCCTCTTCTTTGTTTTTCTCTTTTATTTTTTCTCTTTTTTCTCATTTCCGGTTTTTCTGTTCTCCTTTCTTCTTCTTCCTCTTCTTCTTCTTCTTCTTCTTCTTCTTTCTCTTTATTAAAAAGAATTAAGACTAAACAATATGCAAATCTTTCAAAATAATATTAACTTCAATTGCATTATATTCCAGTTACTCAATCATACTTCCTTACCTCCCTTAGAGAAAGAACGTCATTGAACTTTGTTGTTCTATTTCATTTTATTTTATTTTGAAAATTTTTTTATTTTGTTTTATTTTATCTCGTTTTACCTCTATTCTATTTCTTCTACCATATTTTATTCTATCGAGAGAATATGAAATATCAGGATCAGTTTTTTTTGTTTTTTTTTTAATTTTTATTTTTATTATTTCATTTTTAAATTCATTAAAAATAGATTGAGTCTAAAGCATCCCTTTTTCTAATAACTAGAAATTTTCTGTCAGTAATTGATAACGTTTATGAATTAATCTCATTCATTCTTCCTCAACTTTACGGCAATTTTAAATCCTTCGAAATATTTTTTGACCCGTCCTTCCTATTTCTTCCTATTGTAATAATAAAAAAAAGATTACTTTTACTAGCCAACAATGTTATAGTAAAACACCTTCATATCGGTTTCTTGATTTCTAATTCTTTATTCAAGCGATTTTTATTTCAACCAAGAAATTAAATCTATATTTGCCAAATACATTGGATTACATACGGTGACCTCTTAAGTAATTAAGCTTAGGAAGATTACTTAAAAACTGACTAAGAACTGCCGGTCGTAAATCAAACCAGTAATCATAAATAGCTATAAAACATTATAAATATAGTTCATGAAATGAGAAAAACACGACATGACATAACAATTACAGACAAAATATTCTAAGTATATTCTTTTGAAGTATACTCGAGCTCCAATACGTCTATTTCTCTGGAGTTTCGTCACTCGAGACTATTGTCTTTATTTACCCACGAAAATATTATTTATACAAATACATTTTCAGTCTAGCATTTTCAGATCTGCACTTGTATGTCTACGAGGCTCAAGGACTATAAAAAGAACTTATAATGATATAAACAACATAGACTTAGACATTCAGGTTGCTGAAAGCGCCATTTTATAAATTTAGATTTTTAGCTTATTAACGTAGATTTTTAGATAAAGATACATAGTTATATATTTAATATATATTTCAATTTTCCTTATTAGTCAGTTTTTCATCTTATAATTCCTTCTTCTTTGTAAGTATTATATATTAACATATTCATATTTAAATAATGGACAAATTCTATTCGTTTTTTACAATCTTGAAAAAATGTATAAATATTTAAAAATTATTAATTATTGATTAGAGATTATTGTTATTATTAATTATTGTTTTCAGTCTAGATAATCTATTTACAATTATACGTGCAAAACAAATTAATAAAAGCTAGTATTTACGTTTGAGCCTAAGGGCTAAGTTAACTATAAGTTTTCTAGTTAGCCTCCGACACCGAACGATTTCTGCATCAGACTTGTCACACATATTTCTACAATAGACTATTCAAATATTTCAATGTGTTTCGTACAATTTCGTACAAAGTATCCTCCGTCACCGAACGTATTTCTACATCAGACTTGTCACACATATTTCTACAATAGACTATTCAAATATTTCAATGTGTTTCGTACAATTTCGTACAAAGTAATTACGTTATTGGTTCACATTCAATCATAAGACAATGAAATTAAAAGGGGCATGGCCGCCATGTTGGTTGATATGTAAAACGAAATCGACGAAAAAATATCTTGTTAAAAAGTCAAATGAAATTATTTTAAACTACAAGCTGTTGATGAGCCTTATTTCAAAAACATAAATCATTTATATTGATTTTGTTCTGTAAGAAAAACATTATAATTTTAAACAATTCTCAAAACATTTTCTACAAAGTCAAGCGTCCATTTTTAAAGTGCTCGGATCACAATGCGCATGCGCGTAAATTTTGACATCAGATATTACAGTTGATGTACGGCGATATGGGCACAGAAATTTGATAATATTTTTCTCTCATTTTTATTACTTCCGTTTGTTCGCAATTCGTTCGAAGTTGGTTTTTTTTCGTTTGAGTATATTTTCTGAATAATAGCTTTTAACTTAATATACTCAAAATACATAAAATAACATGTCTAGCGAATTTTTGCGAAATTATACCATATATTTACTTATGCATTAGCAGATCAATCCGTTCAGATAAATTTCTCTAAACATGATCATAAATTACATTTTCTTTTCCAAACTGCCAAAGCAAATTGCTGATAAAATGGCCAAATGTATTTTTGATATTGTTACATGTACAGTTAAAGTTTTTATTTATTTATTTATTTATTTTTTATTTTTTTTTTTTATTTTTTTTTTTT